TCTAAAACGTAATATCGAATTAACAAAATCTAAAATAACTAAATCAACTCGAATTCCTAAGCTCAATTGTAAAATATATTCACTAGTTATAGTGTCAAAGTCCATAAACTAAAAGTCTCAATTCATCTACTGATAGTACGAGTTGGTTTTGAAAGTTCATCTCCATCTGGGTTATAACCAGTGGCGCCGAGTTCGCTAAAAAAAGGTGGTTCAATTTTCACCAAAGACCACCCACCTATCCACAACAGTACAACAATAAACCACATAAAGCCGCTCGCGAAACATACACTTAATTTCTTATACAACTGTATTTATAAAATTAGGATACTTTTCGTACTTAAAGTTATCCATATGTCTTTTCCAGTTGGTCATATTAAGCTGTTCCCGTTTTTTTCCACAAACGCACATAAACTTTTTTGACATCGGTATTTATTTGTTTATTTAAACAAGAAATAATGAAAGTAAATATACAACAGTTCACAGTAAACGAATGAGAAAATAATGAAATTGTAGTAATTACTGACTGCACAAAATATATGTAGAATGTACACTGTATATATTGTCATAAATGTTTAATTTAAGAATATTCGTAGCTTATAAGCCGTAGCCCGCATAATAATATAGACAACCAACTACAATCAATATATTGACTTATTTATTATTAGATATTTATCAGTTTTATCGCCGTCGACGCGTTGTCACATGACGTATACTTTATGTGGTTTAATTAACCACATTTAATTGGATTTAGAGATAATTTTAGATTTTTTCCCAGATTTTGATTTTTGACGAACGATAGTCGACAAATAATCCCACAATACCTACATAAACCTATATAAACATTAACCTATTTAATCAGACTATATAGAGATGATGAGTCCACGGGCAGGGCCGTATTTGAGGGGGGGGGGCAAGTGTCCCTTGTTGCCCGGGGCGGCAAATTTTTTAGCTTATAAGGGGGGTGGAAATTTTATATTGAAATATTATGGCGTATCTAATAACAAAAAAAAAATGTTTTTATTTTTATTTCAATACATTTATTAGAAAAACTATTTTGATAATTATTATTTAATATTAAACTAGCTTCTGTGTGCCTCGCTCCGGGTGAAATTCGCTTAATATTACTTTAGTAATTAATTATTATTATTAATAAAATTATATTAATAATGTCAATTAATAATATTTAAAACACTATTATGTAGATACAATATATCATGCAATACTACCACGATTATTATTCGTGATAATTATTACTATTGATAATATACGGTTGGAAAACTAATACGCCTTCGGAGTCAAAGGCGTTCGCTATCTAGGAGACACCCACCTAATTGTTTTCTTAAAAATATTACGGTACCATACTTACAATCGATACATGGTGTCAAAAACCATTATTATATATATATATATATATATATATATATATATATATATATATATATAAAACATTATGTTTATAAAAAAATCAAATAGCAGAGAACAAACTGCAGTGTATTTTAAAATAATCAAGAATAATAATAGTACCCGTAGAAAGTTATGTGTCTCCTTATCAACTGTTAAAGGTTAAATATGTGTATTATTTTTATATTTAATAGACGGGCAAAGAATTTTAAAAAAAAGTATAAATATGCATATAGATTTTGATATTTCAATTACAGAATAAAATATATATTTATGTTTACAAAAACATTATAAGTGTCTTCTCTAGTAACCTAACCTATAGTATAACGAAGGGACACATTTATTAAAAGTATGTTAGATACAACAATTTATAAGTCTCATAAACGCTAGATAACGACATTTTTCAAAATGTGGAATTATGAGAATAAAAAGACGTTTAAGTACAGTATAGTCGGTTAAAAGAAAGACCTAAAGCATAACGTATTCTATCAATAATAATTAATGAATATGTATACAAAGTGAGTCTGACCACAAACTATAAGAATGGGGATAGATCTTCCTAGATGTTGTCTTAAAAAAAAAAGAAATTGTACGATAAGTGAATACTTGGTTTTAGGTGTGTATACATAAATGTTGGCGTTAGTTACCATTTACACTCTAAACGTTCTCAGTGAAAAACGTATCCAAGAAAGACCACATGGTGGTCGCCAACCTCTTTCTCACATTCAGAGAACTTAAAAGTACTCATCGTCAATAATTAAAAAATATACAGAATAAATATATAAAAATATAAATAATTTATGAAAGACAGAGTGTGGAAATTTCTTGTAATCAGAACATATATGTGCTTTTAAGCCAAAAGAATATGTGAAGATAATGTATACAAATATGAAACATAACATAATCAAAGCAAATATATTTATTATTATATAACATTCCAGTAATATACGGTTTAAGTAAATAAACTATACTAAGACTATAATATTTTCTTACAATATTATTAGGAGAAAAGTGTATTAATACCCATAAATATGCATTATATTGTAAAATAAGAAAATTATTTTGTCTGATTATATTATTTTGTAACATTAAATTGAAAATTGTATACATAAATCTATAACATCAAGTATTTTTAGAGGCTAGAGTTTATTTTAAGTAGGTACTCATACAAGTATTCCGTGTAAATTATATTTCATTACACAAAAAGTTTCGCTATTTAAGTAGATACAACTGTTTAAGACATGGATGTAGTGAGTTTTTCAAGATTATATATAATATAGATTATATAGTATTTACTTTGTTTAATTTTAATATTTTTTTATAATTTACCTATATTTTACATGTGGGTGTATGACAATGAGACTTATGGGATATTATATTAGTCTAAGAATGGGTTTCGCATATTATATAAGATAATTGGCAACATTTTCTATGGACTAGAACAATATTTACAACAAAGTGCCTTACATTTAAAGAAAATAACTCTTTTTATGGGGAGGAGGTTATGGAAGGGTGGCTAAAATATGTTGCCCCGGGGCGTAAAATGTCCAAATACGGCCCTGTCCACGGGCCAATATTTTTGGCCACATATTAATTTTTATCGAGTTTTATCCTTTAGTTACTGTACGGTCGTCGTCTGTACGTAAGCCGCACCACCATAATAATGTTAAAATGTTACATAAATAATAATATAACATAAAAGCTACACTTTCATAGAAATTCGTTCAGACAGCGACTGAGCATGGATAGACACAGGCTACTAATAACGCAATTTGTAATAATGCAATACCAAGGTTCTAGATAATACGTCGTAACTGGTAACTGCTTAAGTACCTAGTAGGTATCTACTTTATACTTACCACTATTATAGTAGAAGTATTAACTTTCTTGGTTCAATATTTTTACTTACCCACCTAGGACCTACCCACCCACCTAGAATTTCAGGTGGTTCAAATGCACCACCTTAAATGTGTACTCAGCGCCACTGCTTATAGCTATTTTCATATAGTATTGAATAAAATTGTATTAAATAGAAATAAATAAAACTGTTAATTCCTTACTGATCAGCACATAATTTATCAATAATATCATACTACATTGAGAGGGCCTAAGAGCCAAGAAAATCTGCTGATTTTTAAATACCAATGCTTCAACCGGTGGAGGAATACCACCGAAACACCTCGAATTATTTATTATTTAATTTTTCTATTGTTTTATTATATTAATTAATTTTAGTTAAAATTGCCTATACTAAGCCCCTTATGATCGTAACTGTAACATCATTAGTTTTGTCGTCATAATATATAATAGTATTAGAAAACCAACATATATAATGAAAATAAACTCAACGTGAAATATCTATAATTTAAAAGAAAAAGAAAATTGTTAATAAAATGTAATAAAACTATAAGCAGAAACAAGTTAAATTGAGAACTGTTTGATAAAAAAAATTATAATAATAGAGTCACGAAAATTGTTATTGTACTTTTTTACGTGTTATTTGAAAACTAATTCAAAGAACAGAACACATGTGAGCGCCTTGTGTTCATACTTTAATCATATTTATTAATAGTGATGAATTATTAAAACGAACCACTGTCGCGTTTCGAACAAAATATATTTTTTTTAATTCTATTTAGGTACCTAATGTTAGTATAATATGTCATTTGTACTTATGTTAGTTTATTTGTTTTCCCATATAAAGGACATAAAAATATTATTTTTGCAATATTATGCGCACTCGTTTACATGGGCTGGATACGTTTCCACCAAATTATATTTTGGCTGATACCCATTGCCACTAAAACAATTTTTATGACTAAACTCACTAGTTAAACGTACTTAGCATAGTATTATGCGTGTTAGGTATTGATATGGTTTTTATTGAATTCTGTAATGAATATAAATTTGTTGACTTGTTTTAACATTAAAATTAAATACGATAGCAATCATTTAATAATGCCCAACTAGTACAATATAATATATATATATATATATATATATAAAAATCATAAACTATAACATAAAAAAACAATCAGGAGTTTTCTCATGCACTTTTAAGTCGATTAAATGAGATAAATACAAAATGATCATTTAACTTGATATCATAAAACTCTACCAGTATTTCAGTCAATAGATAGTGTATTTTTCATATTCATAAAAAAGTAATTCGTGTACTTGTAGTTAATAATATAGAAATTTATTCGGCGGAAACAGGTATCAGTCAAAATATAATTTGGTGGAAAAGGGTAAGGTACCATTTTGGTGGAAACGCCCGTTTATATTTCAACGTAAAGGCACTTCTTTTACTAAATTTTAAACATATCAATTAAATAATATGTTGTCTGGTTAACGAGTAACAAAACGATTTGTTTAAACAGCCATAAAAATATAATTATTGAAAAAAAGAATCTTATAAAATACTGGTACTGGGAGAGGTCTTCTATGTCGTTTATCGTGCTTGTTTATTTTTGTTATATAAGCAATATAAATGATTGTGATCGAAAAACAATTTCGGACCAAGGTCAACGTTTTAATTTTTTAACAATTTATATTTATTTATACAAAAAATTCGTTATTTAATAACAAAAAATGGGTGGTCAAGTTCGCCAAATACAAATCGCGAGTGTTCCGCCGTAGCACAAGGACATCAACGTACCAGGTTCATATTCCAACTCTACACTGAAATTCTCTCCGACGACGACATGCCACATCGATCCGTGATTCTTGTCCATCGATATTTTGATAAGCTTGGACAACGCCTGTTTGACAATGATTTCGTTTAAAATTATGTTAATAAATTGCAATCAGTTGTACGCAACGTTGATCTTATTATGTACTTATTGACTTAGATAGCAGATTGTGAAAAACTTATTTAAATAAATAAAAAAAAAACCAATTTCACATTGTTCCGTGAAACTTACGATTCGCGCAACATTTCGGAACGTTGCTGGCGTCCCGTTATTATTTTAACTACGTAAACTTCAACACGCGGATATTTTTCAAACGTCTAGCAGTATATCACAATTATTTTGAAGTCTTCTACTTTTTCGTATCTGAATCAACAACACGAAAAGTCGAACTTGTTAAACATTTCGTGTTGTTATTCATTAGTTTTAATTTACTTTTCGTATTAACGTGTACATAAGTAAGTACCGTGCTCGAGACCCGGTTCGCCGTACGTTATGCGAATAAACGAATAATCCGGTCGCGACTTACACTATCTCCAGGGCCGTATTACGGCTTAGGCTGTTTAGGTTAAAGCCTAGGGCGACAAATTTTAACGGTCGAAATGAAATAGCAAATGTTTGAGTTGAGTTTGAGAAATTTAGAGTTTTATTTATTAATAATATAGTAGGAAAACATAAATTATTAGTGTTATGTTTTTATTTCATTATTGATCATTTTTTGTAATATAGGACGTGGGGTTTTCTTACTAACTTTTAGAAGTGAAATATCAATACGTAAAGTAGTTGGTAAATTTATTTCAGCCTAAGGGCCGCACAAACCTTAATCCGTCCCTGACTATCTCACATATTTATCGTATTACATTACGGCGCATGCGTTATCGAGACTCGGGTAAATACTTCGTCGACGCGACTGATGTACACTTTCACCGTCATCTCGCGTGTGAATGATAAACGAGATTTATCGCTGCAAGACTGTATTACACCGTTACCGTTTGTACGAACGTAATTCCGTTTGCGTTTCGACACGTCAAACGTGTGTATCATCATTGATTTTAAATGCTATAGTATTTTTATAACAATGGTATTATGCACCACGTGTAGGTACGCGACGACGTACGACACACCCGCACGCACGCGCATAGTACATAAAATGCATAAGCTAATGTTATTAAGATCGTGTTTCATTCGGCGAAACGTATCTACAATATTACGGTGATCAACGCGCATTTAAAGTCGATCCTGAAGACTTTAGACATACTAATTGCAATTAAACAACATTGGTAATACTATTGTCATATTGCTGCGCGATTTGCGCATCCGCATCAGTGACGATCCAGAGCAAATTTTATCGTGCGAAGTAGGAGGCGCTATTACCACCCAGAGTGTATTGGGTGCCATTTATTGGCTGTTGGATTGTCCTGCACGCATTCGAAACCCTTGGAAACTGGAATATTTAAAGTTGTTGAATATCATCGGAATACGTTTTTATTATTAATGAAAACCTGCACGAAATATATGTTCTATTTATATTCTATGACTTTACGATTGTTGAAAAAAAAGGGCAACTCAAAATTGTTCTCGTACCATTTGTAAATCAACGAACATCAAAATATTTTTTCTCTTTAAGATTTTAATTCTATGTAGCCGTATTTAACTAATAATTTATTAATTTGAGTAGGTATATACAGTACAGGCGAGTGAGTAATTTTTTATGCGAGCTGAAAACTACAACAAGAAAGGTTTTTGGTTAGCATAGATTTTTTCTATTAGTTCTTAAGTCTTTGTCTTTTTTTTTATATTTGAACCGAGGTCCAGACGGGAAATGCGTCTGCATTACTTCTGCCAACTCTTAGTCTTAGTGTCACCTAGTAGACAATCTATTAATATATGTTCTGAGTGACTTGAATCTCGAGTTTTAAAATATCACGCAGAGTCTATATAATTCCAAAAAAAGTATACTCACAAAACGGTGAATACGTTATTTTAAAATTTGGCAATGGTTTAAACAGGTTTCACGTCAGTTGAATTTCAACACTTACACATAATTTATTTACTTGCGTACCATTCTCACGATTTATATATTTATAAACATTGTCTGCCCACACATTTTTATGTTGATAAGCATTGTACAAACAGTTAGACCATGTAATCGTTTCTCTACTCCTCGAACCCGATAATACTACACTACACTGTATATACAATACGTTTAATACAATAAATTTATATATATATATGTAAGCATATTTAATATTCACAATCAACGTGTGATCCTTATTATAAATTAGCGAGTCATACGAAAAATGTATATAAAAAATAAGAACTTAATGGTCAGTATTATTGTTGTCGATATTATCTGTTACCTTGAATCTCACGTCGAATGTGACTTATAGAACCCATTTTAAACTTACGGCTTTAATATTCGTGCGACGAATAGAAATATTTCTCTATATGATGTACCTCCCGTAATGTTTGTGTACCGGCATATAAAATCATAATCCTCATCATTTAAATCAAAATAAAATACTTTGTTATTAAATACTTGTTATTCAAAAATATTTTATTGTATTGTGTTACAAAAGTAAACTAGTGTACAACAGTCGAATTTCGAATATTATTTTATCGCGGAGAGCCGATGTTTTGGAACTTAAAAATCTAAACATATTTTACGAAGATCGTATATCTGGAAAAGTGGTTAGGTTTGAATTTTTATTATGTGAATGTAGAAAAATAAAATATTGAAATGACGAATATTTTTGATGTATATGATGCGAAGTTTTATCCAAACATACATGAGGTATAATAATCAAAAATATGGTGAAGATCGCGCACACAGAAATAATAATAATAATGGCGAATAATCGGCGATTTGTGCATACAATTTAATAATAAAATATATGAGGCGATTCGTGCACACGTTTAAAATATAACTAAAAATCACTAATTATGAAATTAGTGCACATAAACTATAAAAATATAAAAATTATAATATCGAAATTGTGGCGATTTTCGTACACAGAACTATAACTTCCTCGGACGGTGGTTTACGCGAGTAGAAAAAAAATTACATACGAAAATTACAATAATACACACCATGGACTTTTCAGTTACATAACACACGATAAACGGAAAACGATGAACAAACAATAATAATTAAACCCGATAAATATAAACAATAATTAATGTACAGTGATTATGTGTGTATCGTCGGTTGGTGGCTAATCTACATTTCGGGCCTCAACAATTGAATTATAAAATATTTTGCAGTTTATAAAAAAAAAAATGAAAGGTTTTGTGTTTTAATCATGTATGAATATTTTATTAACATTTATTTAAATGTTTTAACCCCTCCCCAAAATAAAATCCTGGGTACGTGCCTATTTTTATAAATATTCCTTGTCAGCTAGTCGATTTGTTATATCAATCTTAAATAGTTAAATTATTTTCTTACCATGTAATCTTTAGCGTATAGCTCACAAGCCGTTGACACAATTTCAAGTGAATCAGCTTTCATCTTTTCCGACATATTACAGTCCTTGAAGACACAAGTAAACGTAATAAATACATTTATACTTTTATACATATTTTACATATATGTGTGTATGAAAAATAATAATCTTGTGTTAATAATTTATTATCATTAATATTACTATATATTAAAATATATTACTCTATAATAAGAGTCATAATAAGCCCGTGCGCAAGGTGGAAGGAGGTTCTAACTTTAAGGATATTTTTCCATAAATTTATATTAAGAATAAAGTTATCATTCTATAATAGTTAAGCTGCCTTGAAAATTCATACTCAGTTGAATATTTTTGTTTTAACAGTGCCAATTTTCTCGATTTGACGTACTTTTCTTTTTAATTCTCGCACCTTTCGATAATCGATAGTCGACACTTTTCGATTAACTGTCGATAATCATTGTAAATGCAGTCATCGTGAAAAAATAAGAAACATAGAACACATTTTGACTGAATAGTCTGCTGTTCAAACTGTTCAAACCATATGGTTCAGACATTTATTGATTTTCGATCCACATATTTTTGATCATAGATATTCCATCGTGTATTTTTTATTGACTTCATAAGCTAACATAACATTTATAATTTTGAACCCCTCTGCCCTTGGAGATTCCCGCGCTCGGGCCTGAACCATAATAATATTATTTATTAAAATAAATATTTAAGTATATTATATCGTTATGGCGAATAAGTTTTCACGAACATAAGTTGACAAAAAATATGAAAGCATAAGGAAGATAGTCATTTTTAAAACTTTTTTTGAATTTCTTATAACCAACTTTTTATAAATAGTATATTTTTTTTTTTTTTGTATACAATTTTTAAGAATTTCAATTTCTTGCGCGTGCCATAAAAATTTGGCCAACGTGTCGGCCATCTTTGGCATGCATGCCATAGGTTCGCCACCCCTGCGTTAGAGTATAATGGATTATTTGAAGTTTACAAATTTCATTTAACAAATCATCTAACTCAAATAACGTGTGAACGAATGTTTTCTAAAATTAAAATTATAAAAACACATTAAAGAAGTTGTTTAACACATGATAATTTGAAATCATTTTTTTTTTTTTGATGAAATGTGAAAGGGAACTGTTGGCTAACATTATGCCGGCTTAAGTAATTGACTTAATGTGTGAACAAAGTACAGAAATGTTAAAAATATTGAAAGTTTAGTGTTTAAACATATTACCTACTGAACTATTTGTATATTATTTTACTTGTATTGAACTATTTTAAGAACATACTATTCATATTTTATAATTTATACAAGGTTTTACAATTTATTATTAAATTTTAATTTTTAATTTACAATTTATTCAAGATCCTACCAGATAATATTGTTGTGTATTTATTAATTTTTATAAAACTTAAATCAAAATGAAGATTTGGTTTATTATTTAGATTCATGGCTATTGTTATAGTTTCGTCGTTAGGTCATAGGTATATATGAGACCCATTTATATTAGTATATATAGTAAGCGGGCCCTAATTATATCCAGTTTCCCGGTAGGGAAAATGGACCCAGTACGCGCCTGATTATTATACTGTATATACTCACTCGCACTACTGGATAGTTTAAATTGAGTTCCTGGTTTTCATCTGTTTTAATGTTTCCTGCACCTTGTTCCATCGCGAACGAAACGACAGTTACAGGTTGTAAACAAAACTTTGATGTTTTCAGTAAATATTAAGGTATCTTAATTTTTACAAATGTGAAATAATAATAAAAACCTTTTCTCTTATGACGACATACAAGAATATGTTTATTATTAGTTATCAAAATTATATACTAGTTGTTATAGTAATCTGAAATACGCAGTGCTATAGAATTATTGTGTAATACATTATAGCAAGTGATTTTAAGCACGCTCGTCGAATTTTATCATTTTGTTCAAGAAATACATTTTTATTTGGTGGTACCGTATGTAATTAAGACAAACCTCGAATATTTAAAGGACGGTTAATATCAAGGGTAGACTGGGTATCGTAGAGCCCGGGAAGAGGGGGTCAATTGGACCTATTATTATTACATTTCAATTAATAAATATTTTTAGTTAATTGTGCTCAATTCATTCAAATTCGGATATTCTAATCAGTGGCGTAAATTTGGTGGTGCAAATGTGGCAAGATATGTTTTTGCACCACCAGAAATTGAATCCAATTTACGCCACTGATTTTAATAGTAAATGATTGGTGTTTTATCATTATATTTTAATATTAAATTTTGTGTACGGGTAATTAATATGACACTGTCAAGGACCAAGAAGGCGATCGCCTGGTTAATATTACCTCCTCTAAAATAAATCGGGAATTACGTCTCTGTTTAGACGTAATTCCCGATTCAAAGTTTTTCCATCAAAAACATAATTTTCAATTATTATTATATTTAATTTTTCTTTCTCGTATATTTAGCGATTATATGGAACACTTAAGTTTTTAAATATTTGTGTCATATCGTTCCCTTCAACCAGCCCAAAAATCAAAATTTAAACGAAGAATTCACGTAAAATAATAAAACAACAATGTTTTTCTTTCTCGTTATGTTGTGCTTTTTCGCATATAATAACGCGACGACTTGTATCGAATAATAGACATAAGTTCACGCAGGATCAAGGTGATCCTGCTCGGTCGTCGTGGACAAAGTAGAAGGTGAGAAAGCAGAAGACGTACGTTTCATAATGATTGCAATATATTGTTTGTACTTAGAAAACGTAAGTTAAAATAAATAATTAACAACTGTAAAAATGAAATATTTTTGAAAAAAAATTTTCTCGTTAAAGTTGAAAGTTTATCGGATCCCCGAACCGATATTTCTCATTATTAACTTAATAACGCCAGCTATTTATGACTAAAGAATATCGTTTACGTACTCGGAGTAGACACCGTGCGACCTGGTTTATCTGGTCGAATGCTGGAAAAATACCACGAACAAATGTAGTTAAATAATATTGCAAGTGAAAAAGTTATGAGTAATCGAAAACACCTGTACTATAAATCTTCGTAGGTTCGTGTATCACGAGTTAAGTGTTACTGGCGTTGCATCGTTCGGTTGTCGAGGACACTGCTCGACATTGATGATGACTCATCGTCGATGAGCAATGATGCAATTAAAACTGCAAATATTAATTAACCGTAGTTAATACTGAATTATTATTTTCTCGCTTTGATAGATTTTTTTTAAGAGAAATACCAAGGTAAACGAGACTGAACACAATACTGAAGGATCTGTGAACCATAGATAACAGGATACGAGTGGAAGATGCAGGGAACAATTGAGGCCGTGAGGCAAGCACCGTTGGTCCTTAACGGGTCGTAACTAAAAAGATTTAATATTTTTGAACACGCCTACATAGTTACACATTATAGGTTGTAAACACGATGCAGGATCTACATTACAGGTACATACGGTATATATTTCCGGTGCACGTAAAATAAACCAAAAATATCTATGGTTCAATTATTAGTACTGGAATAATATGGTGGGTAAAATAACTAATAAATATAATGAATTAAAATTATAATTTATCATAGGTACTTTGAAGATTTATTTCATATTTTTATTTTTATTCATTATATTTTACTATTTAATATTCTTATTTTTTGTTAACATTTTCTGTGCGCCCAGTTTAATCTTATACGATTTCGTTTTTTCTCTGATCTACATGAACAAAAAAAAAAACTAATTTCATATGATATGTATTTAAATTGTATTTTTATAAATAACAAAGCGAATATAACTTAAGCAAAAATTTAAAATATTATAATTAAAGCATAAACATAAGACACGCAATCGTTATAAAATACATTTGAAATTGACACTTATTATAATAAATAATGTATTGCTTCTACTTAAGATGTATTCATAAATTGTATTCTTCGACAAAGAAAAAATATAAAATAAAAAAAATTAATTAATATTAAAATGTTATACGGAAAAGTATTAATTATTTTTATTATATATGTAAGTTATTATTCAAATATTTGATATTTCTTTCACAACCATATTTCTTCATCCATGATTTTATTTTTATAATTCTTATGTATATTACTACATTAATACTCACTACTATAATAATAATAATAATAATAATAATAACAATAATAATAATATTAATAATAATAACAAACAAAAAATACGTATATAGACATACAGCAATTAGATATAAAACATACAAGTTTACTTAAAAATAGCTTATAATGATAATCAGAAAGTAACAATAATATTATATTCATTTAGATATTAATTATTTTATATCATAATATACTGTATTACAGATCGATGGTGCTTAAATGTTTAAAAAAAATTAGGAACATATAATATCATAAATATATATAAAAAAACTTTTAACTGATACTCTCTTGCATTACATAGATTGATAAATAATATTTAGGAAATACATTTGTACAATTTTTAATTATTAATTAAAAATAATTGATATTATTGCATTCCAAAGTGTGTAAGGTAAAAAATCAGTTATCTACAAAAAAAGGTTTCTTGATAAACACCAAGGACGGTAATCATTAGGAAACGAAGTCCATCCGTCCCGAGAGTTCACAATCAAGACACCGAGCGTATTATTATGTATTCCGGTCGACTCGTTTTTGTCATCTCCATACTCGTCATTGCTTAATTAACCGGGACTACACGCGATTATTATAATTATGTCCACTGTACGGGGGTACCGGTTTATGAAAATAAAAATAGAGTGGTCGAGACGAGAGATACCACGACTATGTGTATACGGGTCTGTCTTCCTTTTTCTGTTGAAAAACCAACATGGGCGGCTGAGAAGATTTTTTCGATGTGTCTCCGGGACCACGCCTAAGGAACACGGGCGTAGGGTGATATGTATACATAATTTGTATGATTGTTATTATTTTTTATACTTTGGCCGGTATCCCTCTTTTATTGTAAAATTGTATATATGTATTGAAGTATTTTTATCGTCCTGAATTAATATTAAAAATTATCACCATGTACTCCCGGTAACCATTCCAGCAGATCCGGTGGGAAGTACATGTTATTTATTCTACTTATTGTTTGTTTTTTTTTACTTTGTCCGAGTTGTATGCCCGAAAGTTTTTATTCGGCACTAAAATAATATAATTTTTTTACCAATTTTCTTTTTGCTTATCATTACTTATTTAATTTTGTTTTTCCTTTTTTATTTTACACCGTTTGGTATGCGATTTTTATTTCCTTTAATTCACCAAAAATAAACTAAAAAAAAATTCTATATGCTTCGGCAAACGCCTCGGCCATAGGTTGGCGACCCGATTACGGTCCGTCACATAACGCTTCACTCATCTGGCCACGTTGTATAAGTGTGAACAAATAATTCATTTCAATATTTTAATATCGGGAGAAAATCATAAGTTTATTTACATTTAAGATTTTATAATAAAAGTGAATTATATCTCTAACATACTTTTTATTATTTATACTTTTTTCAATGTTTGAAAATAGGATTCATTGCACGCTTACATATTGATATATGAATGATATTCACATTATTAAATATATATTTGACTCTTCGAGCTACATAGATAAGTATAAATAGGCTAATTTAAAAAAAAAAATTGGCATACATATTGCGAGGAGGGTCAAAAATTGCAATAAAAATATTTTGCTTAAAATTTGAATGGAACAGCAAACAAGTTTCGAAACTGAGAAAAAAGTATAAATAAAATTGTTTTTAAAATAAAAAGTACCATGCACGTATAGAGAAGAACAAATGGTTAAAAATAACGAAATGGCCAGCAAGTCTTAAAGTCTTAAATCTAAAAAAAAAAAAAAACATATTTGACATATTTTATGTAATCAAACATATTTTCTAGTAAGAAAAACACCAATTTGCTCTACGCTACCATATGAATATCTCTAATCAAGTGAACAAACGCAAAAATTAATAGATCGAAAATAGACAAACGTCCATGACTACCAACAGCGAAGGCAGTGCTGCAGAACACACGGTTTGAATTGCGAACGAACAAGAGCAATGGAGCGATAAGGGCTCGGCGACGGCAGCAATGGGACGCGCACGTGTACGGTAACACTAATAGAACAGCTGTCAGTTGGATCCGCTGAGCGGAGCGCCGGCGGTGCTGGTGGCCGTGTCGGACGTGGACACGTTCCGGCGGAACGCGGCCAGCACCCGGGTGGCGTTCCAATTGCAGTCGAACGTGAGGAATATGAACGCGCCCTGCAGCGAGTTGAGCGCCGTGTTGATCGTCCACACGACGTCGCTGTCGGTGACGGCGCCGATCAGCGCGAACACCCAGGCCAGGCCCATCATCAGCGACAGACGGACGTACACGCGCAGGTTGGCGCGCGACCGACTGACGGCCGTGGTCGACGAACGGTGATCGAGCCCGGCGCCGGACGTGGCTATTAGCCACACGGCGCCGGCGAACGACACGTAGTTGGCGGCCACGGTCACGCCGGCCGGCAACACGAACAGCGCGGCCAGCGACCGCGGGTTCCGGAACCAGCAGTTGTGCTCCAAGCGCGGCCGGTACCCGGCCATGATCGCGTCCGCGGTGGCCGACAGGCGCAGCTGCAAGACGCCGGTGAGTGCGGTGAGCGCGGCGGGCGCGAGCCACGCGAACGCCGAGTACGCGACGAACCGCGCGGTCCGGCGGCCGTTGGCCACGCGCAGCTTCTTGGTGGCCGCGTGCAGCACGAACCACACGTCGGCCGACATGACGAACATCCACGCGAAAGCGGCTAGGAACCCGAAGTGCATGACGAGCGCAGACGCGAGGCACGGCCACGCGGGTCCGGCAGTCACGGCACCCGACCAGATGGCCAGGTAGCTGGCGTAGCCCAGCAGCAGGCTGCCCGACAGGCTGGCCAGGTTCTTCTCGGGCAGGTTCCGCGGTTCCGGCCTACCGTTGCCGCCGCTGCTGCCTCCGACGGTGCTGCCGCGGGCGAACAGCGCTAGGTGCGCCACCAACGCGACGGCCGACGCGGCCGAGCCCACCGTGCCCGCGTACGACAGATACTTGGCGTACGAGGGCGGCGCGTACTCGCGCAACCGCAACCCCTCCGCGTCCTCCGTGCACACGTACAGCGTCGACCCGTTCCGCGACTCATCCTCACGGTACTTCACGCGCGACTTGTACGCGTACACGTACGCGGTCTCGTTGTCCACCGACCCGACGTCGTACTCGTCCGGCCCGAACGCGGCCATCTCGCGGCACCAGGCCCCGGTGGCCAATATCAACTCGTCGCGGAACACGTCCCGGCACTTGCCCGCCAGCCGATCGTAGATCTCGTCCTGCGTGCACAGTTCCGGGATCACCATGAACAGTTCGTTGAAGCTATTACGTAACCGCTGCCGTGGCGGTGCGCACAGGGTATGGTTCACCGGCACTCCGTTGCACAGCGCACAATCGACGTTCCGGAACACACGCGCCACACGTTCGCTGGTAACGTTCGCTTTCTCGAACACCGTGTACGTGTACGACGCGCAGGCCCTGGCTAGTGCGGCGGGCGTGCCCGCCGGGCACCCGTCCACGTAGCCGGTCCAGGACGGGACGCACGGCCGCGGTGCCGGCCCCGCGTCGGGCCGGTCCAACTGAAAACCACACGACATCAACTGCAGGTCCTTGAAGTTCACGTAGTACCACCGCCCGTTCCTGTGCAGTAGCTTCCCGTTGACCATATCTTCCAGCCGGCCGCTGAACCGCTGGCCGTTCTTGCTGGAGCACCGGAACAGCGGTTTCCAGTAGTAGACGCGGTGCCGTACGCCACGGCACCACGCGCAGTAAGCGTTCGCGTAAACGTGACCGTCCGCGGCCCCGGTCACCGGGTACGTGGTCGTTACGTCCGCTTGCTCACACCTGTCCCGGAGCCCGGCCGCCGACGTCCGTGGACACGTGTCGATCAACAGCGCCGCCGATGTCCAGCTCTCCGGCTTGTAACACCTGTACCGGCTGTTATTGAAAACCGCCCCCGCGGTCACTGCGGTCACCGTTTGTTCGGTCTCGACGTAGTGCTTACTGTTTCGGCAGCAATCGCCGTACACCTTACACGCCTCGTCGTCGTAGCAGTGCGACAGCCGCTGGCCACTGTACTCGTACGTCGGTTCGCATAGCAGCTCCCAGTAGTTCCTGCGCACAGAAAAACGGAGACAGTTTTTTAAATAAGTCTTCTCCACCGATGCGTATCGCGTTGAGTGGCGTACAGCTTTCGTCGGGTTAACGTGCACATTTTCCCGGTCATGTGCCCAACTCGTTTTGAAGTCAAGACTTTCGAACAGACCGTACCTGTGTCCGGTATTGATAAACATCCGATGGATCGATAATTTCGATTTAAGTTATTTTTATAGAGTTGCACGAGTGTTGTTTTTTTTTTTTTTTTTGATATCGAGTCGAGTTCAAAGTTCGAGTAATATCGGGAGAAAATAAAAAATCGAATCGTTGGAAAATGTCGAGTACTACTTGGAAAAAAGTCGTGGTCATCAATATGTATCAGAACATCCGGTATTTTGTATCGAAAACGTTTGGCTCCCAGTAATTATAAACATTTAATAACCAAGAAGTGAAATAAACTCGAGTACTCCAATTAATTTCGAAATAACCTAACCTGGGCAAACGATCATTAATAGGTAAATGCATATTATTATTGTTAAATATAATATACGATTCTATTATTCGGAGATCATCGCATAAAGGAACGACACATTTGTCTTTAAATAAGCATTGGTTGGCCACTAATGTGGTTTCGAAATAAAATACCTAACAGTTTATTTTACAAAGAGCTGGAAGCCCTCAGGAAATCAGGCCGCCAGATAAAAAGATTTGTTTAGCATATTTGACAGTGCAAGAGAAAATAGTAATTTAATGACAACATTATGAAACACGCAGAATGATAAAAAGTGAAATTAGTTTTTGTAATTGTTTCACAATAAGGGCGCTATTTGTACAAATAATTGTTGTATCGCAATTTACCCAAGCGAATATTAATAATTGTTCTTCGGCTTTAATGTTGGCTTTGGATTGAATTATTTTCAAGTTCTACCACCTTCTTGGAAATATTTTATATTCGGTTGGTAGCCGTAACAAAGTCAAACACGCGCGGTTTGGTATAATTAATAATATGCATGTAAATAATGTGTTCGATTTGGCCGTGCCGGACATTGTACTTTCCGTCGTTTCTCGCTACAACTGTGTAACTCGCACGCAATCACCGGTCTTACGCGTTTGTCCGCTAAACTTCTGTCGTACGCGCTTGGAATGGTAAATTTAAAACGAAAATCTAACAATATCTCTATACCCGACAGGCACTACGTTTCCTCGAGCCCACTCACACTCATGTGCGTTTAAGGTCGCGTCTTCGTCGTTTCATTACGCAAGAATTTGTTTAATTATCGCGTCCTATCCGGTAACTAACGCTGACTTTCACTACTCCGTATCATCTGCGCTTCGAATAATCCGCCACATACTGCGTCCGAGCACTCGTATCATTATTATTTGATACAACCGTCGGACGTGTAACCGTAATGAAACCGTAAAGAAATCGCATAAATAGGTGTACATTAAATACCATTGGTTGTCGGCTGTTAATACTAATATATAGTAGTTTAATCGTATACCGTACGACGCATTTAATATCCGTATCCTTGAATTTGTATCACAATTTTTTAACAACCAACTATTATTTTTTAATTTTTTTTTTTTTTTTTTTTAGATGGTTTTTATCAGGCAACTGCAAGCTGCAAAATCTGACGTTAAAATAATGCATATAATTATTGTATAAATGACAAAATTTACGAGCATTTAAATATGAGTTATTGATTTTTATCTTCCGTGGTAGTGCACCATAC